GGGGGGGGGTAGTTTTTTCTCCAAGGGGACTCAGTACCCATTGGGGCCTAAAACCCCCCCTAGAAATCATGGCCCCCCAGTTTGTCTGTCTGTCAAAAATCCCTTTATGAGTCATGGTCAGGGAGTAAGGAATAGAAGGGAGATATAACTGATGCAGTTCGCCCTACCATATGATTATACATGCTTTGCAGACGGGTACCCCATCTGTATAATAAATATTCAGAATAGGTTATTGTATACGTAGTAAATGTACATCAGACAAATATATCTTATTCAAATGAAGTACCTGTCTGCAAGGCATGTACAATCATATGGTAGGGCGAACCGCGTCACTTATATCTCCCTTCTATTCCTTACTCCCTGTTCATTGTATTAGGCACTGTGCATACTTATAGATTAGTTTATTGAGTCGATTGGTATGCATTTCACGAAAAAAAATTTTCGCGACCATTTCGCTTCATTTTTGCATTTCGTTCGCACGTTCGAAATTTCGATTCAAGCTGTTTTGCGAAAAAATGCGAAATTTTTGCGAAGTAGAAAATGCGAAATTTTCGCAAAAAAAAAGATAGTTTCGCGAAAAAATGCGAAACTTTCTCAAAAAAATGAAAGCGAAAATTTCGAGAAAAAAATGAAATTATGCAAAAAAAAACCTGCATGGAAAGATTACAATGCTCGATTTACAACTGTAGCTTTAAAAGCTTTTTGTCCGATTAAGTTTAATTGTCACAAGAATTTCCCTAAAAGGGACTGGTCGTGAAAAATACAGAATTTTTAAAAACAAATGCAAAATTTTAGCGAAAAATGCGGAAATTCATCAAAAAAAGACTAATTTTGAGGATACCAAGATTCTTTTTCAAAGAGGGATTTATCCTTAAGCCCAATAAATGGATTAACACAAAATATAAATATAGATTTAAGAACGACTAGAAGACATTAGATAATTCATAGATTTGCTTGAAAATACTTTCTCGACTATGGAAGATCTTTCTTAACTTAGAACACAAAATAAAATCTACTACGAGAAGAACCAAAATAATTCGGAATATTTTAAATTCACCCTGCTTTCACCCATACTTCCAATATTCGTTATAAAATTTTTAACTTTTTACACTTTTTTACTTGTTGTTGATATAAATGATTATGATTATGACATAATAAAACTTCAAATATTGAGCTATCAGAGCAGAGAACCATAAGTTCTTTTGATCAATTAATTGTTGCAGCTATAAAACTGTTGGTTTTCACAAAATTTTCGCATAAGATTTTCGCATTTTCGTTTTTGCTTCATTTATTTTTGTGAAAAAATGCGAAATTTCGCAAAAATGTTTGCATCAACCGACCGAAAATTTTCGCTTTTTTCGCGAAACGTTTCGTTCGCTGGAAACCCTGTTGCATAATTAAGTATTGCATAATCAAGCAGCTTAAATCTTAGACACAGATTAAAAAGGTAAGTTGGTTAGGCACGCTACATTTATTTTTTACATGTAAATATTTTAGTTCTCAAGTAAATCTGTTCTGGAGGCGTACACAGGATTTATACGCAATGTTAAACGTGCAGATGACGCAATTCGAGTAGCTCGAATTAAACCTGCTTTTGATAGATTTTTACAGGTAAACAAGAACTTATTTGTTGCGAATCTAAGGATTAAAGTTATTCCTCTTCGAACCCCCGTAGTCGTTACACTCTGTATGGATTACTTTAGTTGGGGGATTTAGATTTAAAGAGCCCACATTGGATATCAAGATCAAGCGTTAAATATGAACAATACCTCGCACAAAAGTTCCGAAGGACGATAATAAGAAAGTGTAAAGGAATGTGGGCAAAAATAGAGAACATTCTCTTTAGTCTGAAAATTCTCCGATAAGAAAATCCTCGGGTTAAGACGGAGGATTAAGTAAGATACAATATCTTGGGAGGAAATATACTTTAAGGGTGAATAAAAACAATATATTGAATACTATATAGTGTCCTAAAGGTTTAACATATATGAAGGATAGGCTGTAAATAAAATTAGGGGGATTAAACTTCATTTTAAACTTCTAAATTTAAATTTAAAGTGCATGTTATGCGACAAAACTTCAAACTTTTCATTGTTTCAGTAAGTTTTCTTAATTCATTTTTGATGCTTATTATAAGTTACAATCAATCAAGGGGGCAATTTTTTTACTTTGAAAATTTGAATTTGAAAATCCACGGACAAATATGATAGAAAACAAATATGATAGAAAACAAATATGATAGAAAACAAATATGATAGAAAACAAATATGATAGAAAACAAATATGATAGAAAACAAATATAATAGAAAACAAATATGATAAAAAACGCGAACTTTTTATATTATAAATGTTTGAAAGCCAACTAAAAAACAAGAATAATACAATCAACTAAAACAATAATATGTCATTTTTGGAAATGTTTTTTATTTCTTTTGTTGAAATAATCTTTTCAATTCGTTGGTTAAATCTATATAATAAAACAAAATATTCGTATATATGTTCCCTCTGGCCAGCCAAACCCCTGGTCCGTATGGGCTGAAATCTTTTGTGGAAACTTAATGGTAGCCGGGGTAGACATAGGCTAAAAAAATTCGAATTTTATTTTGAAAGCTTTTTTCATTTTTTTCCACGGGCAACGCCGGGCCCTTCAGTTAGTATGTAATAAAATCATTCGTTAATAGATATTTGTCAAAATTTTTCTTTCATTTGATGAACCCCTTTGCTGAGATTGAGATACACTATATATTTAATTAATTGTAATTAGGTGAGAACCATAATGTGTTCAATACTGGTCTTAAAACGAGAAATGCATAAATGCTGAGGCCGAATTTAAAGAATTTGAGAGGCTCAAATAGGGTTGGTTTTATTTAAAATTGTATTCAATGTTTCAAGATTTAAACCGGCACTCAATTGAAACCGGTTTTGGCGGATTTAAGACGCGGCTCAAATTCATTAAATTCGGGCACATGATAGAAGAATATATTCTTATCTGCACACAAATTTGGTTACTTTAACCTTATAAATATAAACCCTATCCCAGCATAATGACTGAATGGTTTATTTTACCTATTTTACTAAATATATATTTAGTTGGATTTATAATTCGGTGTTGGTGATGGACCAAACCTCTGATGAGTAATAAAAGTAGATGTTAGTTCCAAATTTATTTAGACCTTTTTTCCAGTCATTGGATTTTATAGCCTTTAACAAATGGAAACAGAATGAAATCTTTTTCAACCTTTCTAATTTGACTTTAACATTTTTTTCCATTTCATGTATTTCAACAATATCTCCTTTGAATTCAAAACTTTAAGTTTTAAAAATCAAGTTAAGGCTTAAACTTCAAACAAAAGTTTGAAAAATGTGATTAACAAATGTTAATCTTTTCTGTGTATCCCTATATTATCTATCCTATATAATAAATTAAGACATTCATATAAACGGCTGGACCGATTGGGCTGAAATTTTGTGTGGCTAAAAAAATCGAATTTTTTTCAATTTTTTCCAAATTTGTTTTCCCCGGACAAGGCTGGGCATTTCAACTAGTATATTATAAATACTTTTTTTGTCTGGGTGGGTGTCTGTTTGTTTACAATTTAGACAAAAAGAAAATATTCACAATTAAAAGAGAAGATAGGCGCGAAGCGTCCTAAATGCCTAGCTTAGTAAACTGAAGGGAAAATATTGGTTTCAGACGAAAATAAAGAAAATTCCCAAAGGAACCTGTTAGAGCCAGGATAATGGCCATTTATATAAAATAAAAGAAAAGAGAAAAATTAACAAGCAAGATAAGAAAGATATGATTCAATTCATTAGACAACAAGGTAAAAATGGACATACCGTAGATCATTTAATTTATTAAGATGAAAAAGCAGGATAAGTTACAAGTAAAAACAAAAAAATTGTGAAAAAAAAGAATTTCAACAAAAAAAGGAGATACATGTAAAACAGATGAGAGAATTACTTATTATAATAATGAAATAAAAAGGAAAGACTAAATATAATCTAGGAAATGAGAAAGGAAAGGAAAGGAGAAAGACTGAATATAATCTAGGAAATGAGAAAGGAAAGGAAAGGAGAAAGACTAAATATAATTTAGGAAATGAGAAAGGAAATGAAAGGAGAAAGACTGAATATAATCTAGAAAATGAGAAAGGAAATGAAAGGAGAAAGACTGAATATAATTTAGGAAATGAGAAAGGAAAAGAAAGGAGAAAGTCTAAATAGAATCTAGGAAATGAGAAAGGAAAGGAAGGAGAAAGACTAAATATAATCTAGGAAATGAGAAGGGAAAGGAAAGGAGAAAGACTAAAAATAATCTAGGAAATGAGAAGGGAAAGGAAGGAGAAAGACTAAATATAATCTAGGAAATGAGAAGGGAAAGGAAGGAGAAAGACTGAATATAATCTAGGAAATGAGAAAGGAAAGGAAAGGAGAAAGAATAAATATAATCTAGGAAATGAGAAGGGAAAGGAAGGAGAAAGAATAAATATAATCTAGGAAATGAGAAGGGAAAGGAAGGAGAAAGACTGAATATAATCTAGGAAATGAGAAAGGAAAGGAAGGGAGAAAGTCTGAATATAATCTAGGAAATGAGAAGGGAAAGGAAAGGAGAAAGACTAAATATAATCTAGGAAATGAGAAAGGAAAGGAAAGGAGAAAGTCTGAATATAATCTAGAAAATGAGAAAGGAAAGGAAAGGAGAAAGACTAAATATAATCTAGGAAATGAGAAGGGAAAGGAAAGGAGAAAGACTAAATATAATCTAGGAAATGAGAAAGGAAAGGAAAGGAGAAAGACTAAATATAATCTAGGAAATGAGAAAGGAAAGGAAAGGAGAAAGACTGAGCCTGACAGATCTGCTGGCAAAGCCTCATCAACGAATACCAAGATATCGTCTTTTAATTCAGGTAAAAGGTACTTTGAGTACAAAGCCAACTTTTAGGTCTAAAATAATGCTTAACAACAACCAATAGAAATGGTAAGCAACACAAGTGTACACCACGTGCAATGTATACTTTGCCATTATCTAAAATAATGTTTGGTTTAAAGTTTTTTATTTCACTTAATTACTTTATATTTCCTTAAAATAAAAAAATTAATGGTATGTAGAATCTGATATTTCTACAACAATTATCTTTTTCATCATAAGTACAAATTTTACTGTTTAGGAATAGTTAGTTAAAGTAAAAATATACACAGACTATTTATAAAATTAAAATGTGGCTATTTTAGAAGTACATTTATTGCTTCTAGATATAATAACATGATAAATAACGAGTATAGAAAAGAAGAGGAAGTTGAGAAGGTCTTCTCTGGTTTCAAGATCCGACACCACTGATTTGCGGATTTCATAATCCTCTTTCGGGGATTTCATCCTCTACACTATAATATATAATATTTTTGTGTGGGCCTTAATTTTAGATAAAAACCGGTTAAAAGTATCTTCCTTCAAGTTATAAATAAGATTCAAACCAATTTAATTATTTTCTTGTGCAGAGACTGCTGGAGCACACAGATCCTGAGCACAGTGATTATCTGCTACTGAGGCGTGCAGAGCGGCAGATTCATGAACTTGCTCTGCAGATATCTAGTGTAGAGAAGGAAGCAACAGAACAGGTTTTTATTTATTCTGAACAGATAGATCGCTATCTTGAACAGATAGATAGATAAATTGAACAGACAGATCGATATATCAAATGATAGATAGATATATTGTACGGATAGATCGATATATTAAATGATCGATATTTATATTGAACAAATAGATCGAAATACTTAACAGAAAGATAAATATATAAAACAGGTAGATCGATTTACGGAACAGATAAATCGATATTTAGACCAGGTAGATCAATATATTAAACAGGTAGATTGATAAAATTAACGATTTTACAAAAGAAAGATGTAAGGAATAATAGATCCACATATTGAGCAATATATCGATATATAAAATAAAAGATCGATATAATGAACAATAGATCAATATATGGAACGATAGATCAAGTTATTGAACGATAAATCAATATATTGAACGATAGATTGAATATTGAACGATAGATTGATATATTGAACAAAAGATCGATATATAGAACGATGCATCAATATATGGAACAATACATCAATATATAGAACGATAGATCGATATATTGAACGATAGATCGATATATTAAATGATAGATTGATATAATAAAGGATAGCTCAATATATTCAACTGATAGATCGATGTTGTGAAAGATAGATTAACATAATAAACAATACAACTATACATTAAAAGAAAAGATTAAAAGTATAATATTGAAGGTTTATATATTTCAAAATATTGAACAGGTTGATCGATCACTAAACGGCAGATCGATATATTGAAAAGGGAGATCGATTTATATTCAATATTAAGTTGAGAAGGTTAAAAATTAAAATAAAATTATCCCCTTCTATTCAAAGTCATATTAGTTATTTTCTAAACTTGTTTTTCAGTTATAATATTTAAAACGAGACAGATCTTTTTATTCCCTATTTTTAACACGCATAGGTCGCAAATTTTATTTTAAATCTTGATATAGACTTTATTTTCAGGAAATAAGACAAGGAGTGCTGAAAAGATTGGAACTGATAGTTCATGGTTTAGCTCCAGGAGATCTAGCTAGTCAATCTAGAACTCTAGTTAGACAGGTAGGTTTAGTCCCTGGAGATCTAGCTAGACTAGAACTCTAGTTAGACAGGTAGGTTTAGCTCCAGGAGACCTAGCTAGTCAGTATAGAACTCTAGTTAGACAGGTAGGTTTAGTCCCTGGAGATCTAGCTAGTCAGTCTAGAACTCTATAGTTAGACAGGTATAGGTGTAGTCCCTGGAGATTTAGCTAGACTAGAACTCTAGTTAGACAGATAGGTTTAGTCCCTGGAGATCTAGCTAGTCAGTCTAGAACTCTATAGTTAGACAGGTATAGGTGTAGTCCCTGGAGATCTAGCTAGACTAGAACTCTAGTTAGACAGATAGGTTTAGTCCCTGGAGATCTAGCTAGTCAGTCTAGAACTCTATAGTTAGACAGGTATAGGTGTAGTCCCTGGAGATCTAGCTAGACTAGAACTCTAGTTAGACAGGTAGGTTTAGTCCCTGGAGATCTAGCTAGTCTAGAACTCTAGTTAGACAGGTAGGTTTAGTCCCTGGAGATCTAGCTAGTCTAGAACTCTAGTTAGACAGGTAGGTTTAGTCCCTGGATATTTAGCTAGTCTAGAACTCTAGTTAGACAGGTAGGTTTAGTCCCTGGAGATTTAGCTAGTCTAGAACTCTAGTTAGACAGGTAGGATTAGTCTGAGGCATGTTTGATTCACAATGGTACGCTTAAAAATTCGTCTTTCAGAGAATGAAAAAGATATCCATGTCTATCTTTTAAAAAATTCATCAATTTTAATTGTGGGTTCTTTAGAAAAGTGAAAAGTGCGTAATAATGAATTAAATGATTAACAGTTGATTGCATTTTCCAGCCAGAAAAACGACGATATCTTATACATTATTAATCAGGTGGTTAAAGGGTACCGTTTTGAATCAGGCATGTGCTCCCCTTTTTTTTTACTCGAGGGTCAATTATAAGCTAAGTTAAGTTAAACCTTTTTGGCAGAGATAATTTTTATATTTTTTGCAAAATAAAACTTGTTGAACTAGGTTTCCTTCAGGTTCAATAAAAAGAGAAAATATGTGAAACTATTAAAACAATCTGGAACTTTTAATTAGAATTTTAGAAGAGTTTTCATGAAAACTTAAATTTCTATTTCTATATCTTTATCCAGAGATGGAATGAATAAAGAAAGTAGTAATAAAACCAATTGAAATCAGTTAACAACCATATTAGAAAATAATTAATTATTAGATGTAAAAGCAAGAATAAATCCATCATTATTTATACTGACAAAGGTTTCCAGGGTTGTTTTCGTAAACTCTTTAATGGGGGTCATTTTAAATTAGAGATGTGCGCGTTCGGTTTTTTTCATTTCATTCGTTTATCGTTCCTGAACCAGCCATTTCGTTCGTTTATTTCAATTGTTCAAAAAAAATTGTTAAGTCCGTTCTCAAAAATATTGCTTATAGTTTCCATCTATTTCGTTCGTTTTCTCAGTGAATGATCGTTCGGTTAAATCGTTCGTTCAATAAATTAGCTCGTACCGTAAAAAAACGATAATTTTTTATGTTTGTCGGAAAAAAACGCTTGTTTAGTAAAAAATCAAACGTTTTTTTTAAGAAGTTTGTATAAAAAACTATCGTTTTGCCAAAATCTTTAGAAAAAATAGTTCGTTCAGTAAAAAACAGTAGTTTTTCAAATTTGGTCGATCGATTTATATCGTTCGTTTTTGTTTTGTTTTTTGTTCGTTTCTAAAAGATGAGCGTTTTTCATTTCTCTGGACGATCCAGTCGTTCTTCCATCGTTCGTTTTTTTCTGAACGACACCATCATTCACAAAAAAAAGAATGTTTGTTCTCAAAAATGTTGTTCGTTCACTAAAACGATGCCTATCTCTAGTTTAAATTACGCGGACAAACGTTTTATATGTTTAGGATTTCAAAACCCCAAACATATGTTTAGGATTTAGTAAGCAGTTCAACGACGACCTGGATTAGGAAGGAGAGATGTATATTTCTGTTCTCCGATCTTCTCCTGATCACAACAGTGTCCAGGAGGGGGACCAGGTCCACCAAGGAAGGGAAGAAGAGTGTTATTGGGTAAAGTTTTTCATCTTATCATGATTAAATCCTGGGTACTTTTACTTTAAGGAATAGTTTTAAAAAAATATATCAATACAATAAAGACGACTTTTCATTTCAATTTTGATTTTCATCAAGCTGTCAAACAGAATGGATACACAAAAAAATTAAGTCAAGAGAAGCTGTCAATTAAAAAAGCTACTCTACAAATTCATGTAAACGTGTAATTCGAAAAAAGCTTGTTAACAATCAAAACTTAAATAAAAAGTCGTCTTTATTGTATTGATACCATCACCTACCACTGTACTTTCTAGGTCAGGGATTTGGGAATGATTTACTAAGTTCTTACCGACCTTGTCTTATTAAAGTTCAGGATTGGGATTGGCTTTATCTCCAAACTTTATGAAAAGTACAAGATTTACGATAAATGATTTTCTCTGCATCCTCCCTAGCTTGTTCTATGAGTATAACTGATATTTATATCTATCTAGTTTGGCGTGGGGAATAAATAAAAATGGACATCCAAAAAATTCGGCAGATTTTTCTGTTAAAATTTCTAAAATAATAAATTTTGACTTTTTTGTTTGGCACTTTTAAAAATTCCCCCCCCCCCCCATCGGAGAATATCGTTAAACCACCAATGAAATTATATTTATAAATTTTCGTAAACTTCGTAAACACGCTTTTTTGAACAATGAACTGACGTAGAGAAAAGGAAATTGAAAAAATCCAATCAATTAAAGTGGATTCTCTCAATAGAGTCTTGTTATTGAAAGTTGGCAAAACAAAATTTCTTTTCAATTTAAACTGTTTGATTCATTTAAAAGACAAGTGCAGGGGATTTTTGTATTTTTAAACCATGTTTTTTTCATCTCTTATATTAAGTAGAGCAGCGGAATATTTATGTGAGCTTATATGCTTTACCTGTAACCGACAAAACCGTAACCAAAACAAAAAAGGTTACCCCGAATCTATGTAGGAAAGATAAAAAGTTTCTGAAAAAAACCTACAAATAAAAACTTATGTCAAAAAGTCCCAATTTACTGAAGTCCTAGGACTAAATGTCACTGTAAATAAAGTCCTGAGTTATAGATTCTTGGGATTTTTTCCCCCAAAATTTAAGATTTTATTTCCGAAAACTTTGTTTAGAGAAATTTTTTGCCGGTTTCCTTCCCCCCTCCCCCATCCTTCCTGGGTAACATATTATCCATATAGACGCATATGTTGTTTTCAACAAAGTGTTTGACAATTTTCTAAATGTGATTTAAAGCGTAATATTTGATTGCGTCAATTTTAGTGTTGATTATTTTTGGACTAAAACGCAGTTATTCAGTCGAACAACGTAATTAATTAAACGTAAGATAAAGCTACGACAAAATCAATATACATTCTTTTGATTTCTTTGAATAATCCTATTTTTTCTAAAAGATTTATAAAGTCTTTAAAACATGGTTTTAAATAACTAATAATGTAAATTTTTTTCTTCATATTTAGTATTTTGTTAAAGAAATGGTTTTTTTTAAGCCTATGTCACCCCCACGCTACCCATGAATGTTCACAAAAAAGTTCAGTCCATACGGTCCACTAGGCGAGCAAGCAGCCAAGCTGAATTCTCAACACAAAGATCTGGATGAAATGATCAAAAACATTCTGACAGGGCTTAATAAACAGGTGTGTCATTGAAATTAAAGGGGGGGGGGCTATGGAGTCTGAACTTCCTACTAAAAATGTAAATTTATTGAACACAATAAAAAAGGTATCTAAATTAAAACATATCTTAAATACATCTAGCGAAGTTTATTAAATTTTAAAGTGAAATAGCAAATTATCTGACATCTTATAGAAAAGTAGCACAGTATCTGAAATCTTAAAGTATAGTAGCAAAGTAACTGAAATATTAATGTAAAGTAGCGAAGTATCTGAAATCTTTAAGTGAAAAGTATCAAAGTATCTGAAATCGTTAAGTAAAGTAGCGAAGTATCTGAAATTTTGATGTAAAGTAGCGAAGTATCTGAAATCTTTAAGTGTAAAGTATCAAAGTATCTGAAATCGCTAAGTAAAGTAGCGAAGTATCTGAAATCTTTAAGTAAGGTATCAAAGTATTTGAAATCGCGAAGTAAACTAACAAATTGCCTAAAATCTTCAAGTAAACTAGCTAAGTGCCTAAAATCTTCTAGTAAACTAACTTATATTCCAGGTATCTGAAAGCTAACGTATATTCCAGGTATCTGAAAGCTAACGTATATTCCAGGTATCTGAAAGTTAACATATATTCCAGGTATCTGAAAGCTAACATATATTCCAGGTATCTGAAAGCTAACGTATATTCCAGTTATCTGAAAGCTAACGTATATTCCAGGTATCTGAAAGCTAACGTATATTCCAGGTATCTGAAAGCTAACGTATATTCCAGTTATCTGAAAGTTAACGTAACTTCCAGGTATCTGAAAGTTAACATATATTCCAGGTATCTGAAAGACACTCTGCAGAAGCTGGACATGGAACATCCCTGCAGCTGAGTATACACACAGCAGATGGTCCTGAGAATATCAACCTTGTATTTGAAAGTGCTGAGGGGAAACTAGACTGGGAAAATGATTTTATGAAATGGAAAGAAAAGATGGAGAGAGAGGCTGAAGCACCCCCGGACCTTCTCAGCCTGATTCCTATTCGCAAGACACGTGCCGGACTTCAGTTTACGTGTGCTTCTCCCACCCTAGGTTTAAACAGCCACGGGTTAAAGGATGTCTGGGTGTGTAATAGTGATGGATATGTCGGACAAGTTTGTGTTCTCAGTCTCCGACCAGAACCCACAGTGATTTGTTGCAATGGAGTTTGCAACGCTAGAATTCTTTCCATTGTATCAGTGCCCAGTGATAATCCAGAACCAGTTTTAGAGTGGCATCAGCACTCTTCTCTTAGAAAAGAGTGGCCAAGTTGGTCCGCCCCATCAACACCAGCTGCCCAGGGCTGGGTAACGCCCCCAACCTCTGGGGACTGGACGAGTAAATCCTGGGGTGTGTGTTCAGATGGAGGAACAGAGGAGTCTAGTCCGCAGTCTACAGGAGTAGGACCTATTCTTGATATATCCAGTGAAGATGATGAGGACTCTAGTAATAGGAGTCAGATATTCAGACAAGAGCAGGTTAGATATTCAGACAAGAACATGTTAGATTTTTAGACAAGAAGAGGTTAATATTCAGACAAGAACATGTTAGATATTTAGACAAGAAGAGGATAGGTATTCATACAAGAAGAGTTTAGATATTCAGGCAAGAGCAGTTAGATATTAGACAAGAGCAGGTTAGATATTCAGGCATGAACAGATTAAATATTCAGACAAGAGCAGGTCAGATATTCAGACAAGAACAGGTTATATATTTAGACAAGAACAGGTTAGATATTCAGAAAAGAACAGGTTGGATATTCAGACAAGCACAGGTTAGATATTCAGACAAGAACAGGTTAGATATTCAGACAAGAACAGGTTAGATATTCAGACAAGAACAGGTTGGATATTTAGACAAGAACAGCTGTTAGATATTCAGAAAAGAACAGGTTGGATATTCAGACAATAACAGGTTAGATATTCAGAAGATTTTCAGACAAGAACAGGTTATATATTTATACAAGAACAGCTCAGATATTTCCCCGAGAACAATTTAGATATTTAGAAAAGAACAATCTAGATATTTAGACAAGAACAGATATTCAGACAAGTAAAGGTTAAATATTTACAATATACAAGAGCATGTCACATATTAAGGCAAGAACATGTTAACTATTCAGACAAGAACATGTTAGATATTTAGACAAGAGCAGGTTAGTTATTTAGATAAAAGCAGGTTAGATATTCAGACAAGAACAGGTTAGATATTCAGACAAGAACAGGCTTGATATTCAGAAAAGAACAGGTTAGATATTCAGACAAGAACAGGTTAGATATTCAGAAAAGAACAGGTTAGATATTCAGAAAAGAACAGGTTGTATATTCAGACAAGAACAGGTTAGATATTCAGACAAGAACAGGTTAGATATTCAGACAAGAACAGGTTGGATATTTAGACAAGAACAGGTTAGATATTCAGAAAAGAACAGGTTAGATATTCAGAAAAGAACAGATTGGATATTCAGACAAGAACAGGTTAGATATTCAGACAAGAACAGGTTAGATATTCAGAAAAGAACAGGTTGGATATTCAGACAAGAACAGGTTAAATATTCAGACAAGAACATGTTAGATATTCAGACAAGAACAGGTTTGGATATTCAGACAAGAACATGTTAGATATTCAGACAAGAACAGGTTAGATATTCAGACAAGAACAGGTTAAATATTCAGACAAGAACATGTTAGATATTCAGACAAGAACAGGTTAGATATTCAGACAAGAACAGGTTTGGATATTTAGACAAGAACAGCTGTCAGATATTCAGAAAAGAACAGGTTTGATATTTAGACAAATCAGATTTTAAAATAAAACGTATATTTTTCAAAGAACCTGGGTTAGATTTCAAAACAATTACAGTGAGAACCAAAACTGTGGAATAAGAATAATAATTCTTCAGTGTATTTAAATTATGTTAAAAAGCAAATGTTTTTACACGTAGCTTATTAAATCATTTATTAGATTAAATGGGTCTGTTTACTGTACAAATACTTTGTCTTATGTTCTTTGAACTGTACAAATTTATAATTTGAGTCTGAAATAGCAATACTATAGAGTATACTTAATGTTGTTACAAAAGAAATAATTTTACTAAACACTAATCAAGTAAAATGGGTCTGTTTACACTGCACAAATATTGTTTATAATGCTAATCAAGTGACATGTGTCTGTTTACACTGCACTAATGTTGTTAATAATGCTAATCAAGTGACATGGGTCTGTTTACACTGCACAAATATTGTTTATAATGCTAATCAAGTGACATGTGTCTGTTTACACTGCACAAATATTGTTTATAATGCTAATCAAGTGACATGTGTCTGTTTACACTGCACTAATGTTGTTAATAATGCTAATCAAGTGACATGGGTCTGTTTACACTGCACAAATATTGTTTATAATGCTAATCAAGTGACATGTGTCTGTTTACACTGCACAAATATTGTTTATAATGCTAATCAAGTGACATGTGTCTGTTTACACTGCACAAATGTTGTTAACAATGCTAATCAAGTGACATGTGACTGTTTACACTGCACAAATATTGTCAATAATGCTAATCAAGTGACATGGGTCTGTTTACACTGCACTAATGTTGTTAATAATGCTAATCAAGTGACATGGGTCTGTTTACACTGCACAAATATTGTTTAAAATGCTAATCAAGTAACATGGGTCTGTTTACACTGCACAAATATTGTTTATTATGCTAATCAAGTGAAATTGGCCTGTTTACACTGCACAAATATCGTTTATAATGCTAATCAAGTGAAATGGGTCTGTTTACACTGCACAAATGTTATTTATAATGCTAATCAAGTGACATGGGTCTGTTTACACTGCACAAATATTGTCTATAATGCTAATCAAGTGACATGTGTCTGTTTACACTGCACGAATGTTGTTAATCATGCTAATCAAGTGACATGGGTCTGTTTACACTGCACAAATATTGCTTATAATGCTAATCAAGTGACATGGGTCTGTTTACACTGCACAAATATTGTTTATAATGCTAATCAGGTGAAATTGGCCTGTTTACACTGCACACATATTGTTTATAATGCTAATCAAGTGAAATTGGCCTGTTTACACTGCACAAATATTGTTTATAATGCTAATCAAGTAAAATGGGTCTGTTTACACTGCTCAAATGTTATTTATAATGCTAATCAAGTGACATGGGTCTGTTTACACTGCACAAATATTGTTTATAATGCTAATCAAGTGACATGGGTCTGTTTACACTGCACTAATGTTGTTTATAATGCTAATCAAGTAAAATGGGTCTGTTTACACTGCACTAATGTTGTTAATAATGCTAATCAAGTAAAATGGGTCTGTTTACACTGCACAATATTGTTAATAATGTTAATTGGACTATTTAAAGTAAAAACTTGAGTCTAAAAGTCATCTTCCTATTCCAGAGTTTTCTAGTTTCTACTGTATAATACTTAATTAAAGAAATGCAGGTATTAATGTACAACTTATACGTACAGAATAACCTCCTTTATGTACAGGTTCCGGCTACAATGTGGTTGGGAACAGAGGACGGTACAATCCACGTGTACAACTGTACAGACAATATCAGGATTAAGAAGAACAAAGAGAAGTTTGTACATAACAGTCCTGTACTGCATATAGAATATCACAACAGTAAAGTTTATGCGGCGCTGGGCAGTGGTGAGGTGTATATTTACTCACGGGATTCAAGTAAGAATAATAAAAAATGTCTAGACTTAATTTTGAAAAGCTCATAGAACGTACAATCAGTTTTTGATACACTTTTTATTTATCAAATTTGGATTGCAAAGACGATTTACAGATTGTTTTTGTTTCACATGCTAACTTGGCCACCCTGTATTTTAGAAGTGGTTATAAATGTTAGGATGTCAGATTTAATTCCGTAACTGAATATAAAGTTGTAATTTCTGTTTGTCTGTTTGTTTGTTCGATTACAACTCACTAACAACCAGGACCGATTTGCCTCAAATTTGGATTAGGATATTCGGGAGAACCACAGGAATATTTTTAGTTTGGTTTTGAGATTCTAGGTTGAGTGAGTCGAGTTCAAAGGGAAAAATAGCTAAACTCTTAATTTTCGACCAAGCGCGGGTAAACGGTGGGACTAACTATGACTCCCCCAGGCTCCCAAGTTAGGTTTTTATATTCTCTGTTGTAGACGGACAATGGGATAAGAACGGGTTTGTTGTGAAGAATGTCGGCACACCCAACTACCCTGTCACAAAGATGTGTGTGGTGTGTGAGAGTGTGTGGTGTTCTACACACAACAAGATCAGGAGATTGGATACACGTACACACAACGTAGAGGAGGTCACACATATCACAGGAGACAACAGGTAGGTCATACAGTGGCACGTATACAAATGTGGAACAGAAGGACGACATTGAATCAATCCTCTGTGTATTTGGTGTTGGAACAGATTAA